AGATCTGTAAGAAATGTAAGATTTCTGGCACAGTAATTTGAGCCAATCAGAATCAAGTCACATGTATTACAATTAGTACTTTTCATCAAAATCATCCTGATCTCATGATCTCGTGATCAGAATCACATGATCTTGTGCTTGTTAGAATCATCTTAGTGAGCTAAATCCAATAGTGGTTATTCATCCAAATTGGTTTGGTACATCAAAAGTTATGGTCAAATATGTGAAAACTCTTAATGTTAACAGTATTTATTAATTATTGCATTTCCAATTCTGTTATAAATTTAAAATTTGTTATGCTATTCATATTTGTATCATATTCTATTATAGGCATTACTTTATTAACAATAAGAAAAGGACTAAAATGTGTAGGGAATTTTGGAGTTTTACCAAAATGTATTATATTATTATTATATTCTAAACCTATTTTTAAATTATTTTTAATTTTTTTTTAATTATTTTTGGATCTGTAATTACTGTTAAAACCTAGATAACATTAGATTAATAACTAGTTATATTAGTTTGATTGTGTCTATCATAACAATAAAATATTATATTTTTTTCTTTATTAACTCTTTTTATACTATAAGGCATTCTTTGTGATTTTGATTTTTGTTCTTTTGATATTTAAGCATGAGAATAATAAATGTATATACTAAAATTATATCAAAAAGGTTTATCACAATATTTAGATTAATTGTTTTTTAATAATTTATTTACATTATTTGATATATTAATTGCTGTTATTTTTTTCTAATTTTCTTTAATTAAACATAATTGTATGTTTTTATCAGTATCATTAAATCTATATATTTCTTTTTAAAAAATATCTTATAAACCAATATTTTCTTTAAGAAAATATTAATATCTTTTTTATCTGTATCTTTTATTATTTTATTTTTTGCTATTAAAAGAGATAATATAACTATAAAATCATCAAGTAGTTTATATAATTTTATATTATTATATAAAAATATTCTATTATTACTTTTGTGTTAAATTCTATATTAATATCAATTTGACAAAAAGTTTATGTAATCTTAATCTAAATGTTTTAATACATCTTTAGAAATTGTTTGACCAAATCGACTATACTTAATTAAGGAATTTGTAACAATATTTTTTTCTGTATAATTAGATTTTCTATATTTTATTGTGTCATTATTAATTTTTTTATCATTTTCTTCAACAATACTAGTTTAAATGTTTCAGAAATATTAATAAATAATGTATTTGAAAAAAAATAAAAACTATTTTATTTAATAAAGGTGAACCATCAGACTTTTTTAAATATTATTATCTGTATTTTCAAAATCACAAATTATATCATATAGTAATCCAAATATATTTATTGAATTTATTTTATTTTTATTTTTTTTTGGTATTAAGGTAAGGCCTTGCTTATATCTTTATTAATAATTTTAACTTTATATTTTAGTACAGAAGTACTAATATAAACTAAGGTTGTTTGTAACAAAATAAAAATTACATGCAAGAATAAAAGCTTAGACTAGTTTATTTATGATCTAAACTGACTATAGTAGTCAAGGCCCACCTGGATTTAGAGTGTTAGTTAGTTAGAAGAAATATTGTATTTAATCCAGAGAATTAATCAAATGTTAAGTTTTCTAATAGCTTGACCAAATGGCAGACATATATTAGATTATAAATAAAGTTGATCTGTTATGCCACATAGGCATGAGTATGTGTATGCTTAGTGATATTGTTTGAAGACTCTATGATTTTGATGTTATATATCAGTGCTACTAATATTATTTTGATAGCTTGGTAGATTTTGGTTATGTTTTTTCTAATTAGAAATTTAATGCAGTATGGTTTTCAAATTAGTTCATAGATTTGTTCATTAATGTGTAGAAGTATTTGAATTACTATTTGTGAAACTAATTGTGAAGGTATATTAAAGTTGCAAATAACTTCAATAAGTGATTTAGATATAAGTTCTTTAAGTGTAATGTCTATAAAATGTAGATTGTGTTGAAATAGTATACAATTAAAACATGAATGATGACATATATTAGAACCTAGTTCTTGAAGTTGGGAAGGTGATAAGTCCAGTTTATTTTTAAAAAGTATTTGGTTAACAGATATATAAATAATATTAAAGATTGTTAGAGCATGTGCACCAGTATGTAGATGAGTTAGAAAGATTGCATTTAAATCAATTAGTATTGGTAAATATTTGAGGATATCTGTTATGAAAAAGAATTGGGTAGGTAGCTCATTTAGTAAAAATTTAGATTTAAAAGCTTTGAGTTGATTAAGTTTAAAACTGATATAAAAAAATGTAGATTTTTGGTTATAATTAAAATAAAGCCAAAAAGAAGTCCATTTATGAGATAGTTTAGATGAGACTATTCACTATTTCTTTTTTGTGAGAATCACATTGCTAGTATATATGTTTTACATATATTTTTGATAAAATATCTAGTTGGTAATTTGATAAAGATTTTTTCCTATTAATGAATATAATAAAGGTTATAAATATTAGTATAATTGAAAATAAGAGGTTAAAGAAGTATATGTTGTTTTGCTAAGGAGTCTGTAAGGTTGTTGAAAGGATTATCAGTATGGGTGTGAACTTTGTGAAAGATAATTTGAAGATTAAAGGATTTTATAATATTAAATAAGGTATGCTATAAGGGCCATGTGCTAAATTTAAATAGCTTGTTAGAATTTTGTAATTGGTTCGATAGTGTATAAAATTTTGAAATAACAGATTGTGAGTCTGTGTAAATGCTAATAAATAAATTGCAGAGTATAGTAGATATTGCAGATAGAATTGAGACTAATTTAGCTTTATAAGATAATGATCATAAATGGACTTGAGCTGAAAATTTATAGATAATTTGATTTTGTTCATTGATTTAGACTCATCCAATGCCTATAGAATATTGTTCTAATCCAATATTAATAACAGAACCATCAGTATAAAAAGTAAAGTTATTATTTGTAGAATTAGATAAATAAATGTTTTGAAGCTCATAAGTGCAGCTTTTTGGTTTAAAGATTTCTAAAATGCTAAAGTTGTGTATGATAATATTGGAAGATATAAAAGGTATATATAAAGAGTATTTAATAGCTGTTGAGTATATAAGATCAATATAATTGGCATTAAGTTTAAAATTTTTAAAGGTTTTTTTAGCTAGAAATGATACAGAAATAATTGCTAATGTGTTAATAGTACATATTTGGTTAATTCTATTTGAATTAAGATGGCGTCCTGTATATAGTTTGCATTCAATAAGTAGAAGTGGATAATATTAATCATAATTTAAATTAATATTAGATTTCTGATTTGTAATCAAAAATGAATAAGAGACAGAAATATATTTGCGAATTTTGCCAATAATAATTTTTTCATTACTGAAATAAAAAGTAAGAATCCAAGGTTTTTGTTTTTGACAATAGAGTATATATTATATACAAAAGAGTTGGTACTAGGTAATTGAAAGTGAGATAAGATAGTTCTGTGATGTTTATCTGATATGATTTTGTTTTCAAAAGAGGTAAACCATAAAGGTTGTTTTTTTTTTTTTAGTTGGTGTAATCTTGGTAAAAGATGTTGTCATTTAAGTAAAGTACTGTTATTGGCAATACATAGTTGCTCTAAATAAAGGATATTAAGTTTTCTTAATTGTCTTTTAAAGATAATGTATTTTAGATGTTGTATAAATATAGGTTCAATTGGTTGACATACATTGTATATAGTATTTGGCTATAATATATTGTGATAAGCAAAGATTGTAATATTGAGATATTAAAACAACTGAATAATTTTAAAATTAAGAGTAAGTTTGTTGTATTCATTAATAATAAATTGGTTATGTTAAAGGATATTAGTAATAAACCAGAGGTAATTTTGAAGTTGTTGCAGCCTAATTTTAGTTGTTGTGCCAAGAATATTAGGATCATTAATCCATTTTTGAAAATTAGTGATGTGATGTTGCAATTGAATGTCCTAAATATTACAAATATATTATAAATATAGGTTGAGCATAGAGCTATTAAAAAAGGATTTGGATAAGTTGGATTTATGTTTAGCTATAGTAAAGTATTTGGCTAATATGCTATTGTGTATAGAGTGTGAGAGAATAGTATTATGTAGTCCATATTTAATAGTTGGTATGATTACTATATTAATAATATATGCTATTTGTTTTTCAGTAATTTTTTTAGTACTAGTAATATTGATTAGTTGGGTTGCTTCAGCTTGAATTAGCTGACCTTGTTTAAACATAGATCTATTAAGTGTAAACTAACAGCCCAAGAATTTGAATAGTTGGTTGCCTGAGATAGGTTTAATTGATGAATCAAAAAAGAAAAGTTTAGCAGTAGATGATGTATTAGAAAGCAGAATATATTTTGCTAGATTAATTTGTATATCTGCCATATGATAGAAGGATAATACCATTTTGGTAATTGATTCAAGTTTATTTTTGGACTGTGCTATCCAGAGGGTATTGTCCATATATGCCAATACAGATATAGAGGTTTGTAAGTTTTGTAGTTGGGGTGGAGAGAGGTTAGTTTTTCATGAAGTATGTAGGGTGTATCTATGAAAATAGTTGGCAATTTTACCAATAAGAGAATCATAGTAAATTCTTCAGAAGAGTAGTGTTATTGTCTTTCCTTAATCAATACTATTTTTAACTGTATAAGAGTTTGTGAGTCTAAGATTGGTTATAACATGATTATAGTGATCAGTAAGAAAATCAGTTAAAATTTTAATGAGATGTTAGGGCATTTGTAGTTGTAATAAGGATTTTTCAAAAAGATTAAGATTGATAGTGTTATAGGCCTTACTTATGTCTTGTGATAATAGCCAAAGTTGTTTAGAGTTGCAGAAAGCATCTTCTATAGTATTGTTTAAGATATGTATTAGAATTAATATACTATTACCAAAAAGAGCAATATAGTTGTATGAAGATAGAATAGAGTGTTGGGTAAAGATACTATTGAGTCTATTTGTAAGAAGTTTTGTATAAAGTTTTTTAATGTGTTCAAGAAGGTTTAGTATTAGTAAAGTTGCCATCAAATATAGGTTTTTTGGATATTGAAAATATTTTTTCTTCTTTTTATTGCTTGGGTATATACTTTAGTTCAAGACATTTGTTAAATAATGCAGTTATAGCTGTTATAAATATAGGGTTTGCATGTTTTAGCATTTCATAGCTAATACCTAATAGACTATAGGCTTTGTTGTTAGGAAGTTGATTTAGAGTTGTAGAAATTTTCTTTTCAGTAAAGTTAGTAAAAGCCTGTTGGTATCAGTCAGATTCAATATCAGCTTTGGTTTGATATTCATCTGACCAGAAGGAGTTAAAAATTTGAGTTTGAATATAACAGAGAGAAGTTCATTGATCAAAGTGGTCCTGAATGTGTTGTTTAATAAGTAGAATTTCTGTAATAATATCAGTATCAGTATTGATATTGTTAAATCTGACAGAGTCACAGTATCAATTAAGTATACTGTTAATCATTAATGTAGATTTGTGTTGAAGTTTAAAGCATCTTTTTGCTATGTTATCATTAATTTGTTCTCTAATATTTTTAATGTTTTCTAAATTGCATGCATGATATAATGATTTCTATTCTGTATTAGCTAAATAGATCTATTTAGATAATAGTACATAGTCACTTGGTATGGATGGAATATTAAGAAGATAAGAAAGGTTAAGTTCATAAATTGTTTGATTGTGTTAAATAGGTATAGTTGATTATTGCTGAATAGAGGCTTTGTTTTGTTTGATAATATTTCCAAGTTTTTTAAGGTGAAAGTGTAATTGTAATGCTTTTGAGGAGAATATATATTGGAAGTTGCATATAGTAAATTTTTTGTTTAGAATATATATATGTGCAGCAGAGATGATACTAGTTTGGATTTTGTGCCAGGTTGCCTCAATAGAGACAGTTGTCTGAGTTGAGAGAGGAGTGTAAGTTAATTTTAAATTAGATGAGACTTGGTCAGTAAAGTTTTGTCAATGTTCATTATTTATGTTTTTGTATTAGAATCTTCTTCTTTTGGTATTAGTAGCAGCTCTTCATTTGTTTGTAAAGGCATAAGAGAATTCCCATATAGAAATAAGAATGTTATGATCACTACAAGTGCTAGTATTTGGATCATCAGTAGTATATAATATGAGGTAGCATAGTAAAGAATAGTTGGCCCAAAT